CGGTGAGACTGGACCAATAGTGATTGAAGATTGAATAGGAATAATTGGAGATACTGACGATCCAGTTTATATTGTGTTGGTTGCATCGAGCATTACAGACGAATCTAAAATATTGTATATTGTCTGTATTTATGAAGTAAGAATAATTTAGAAAAATATAAGAAATAATCTAGCATGTCGCTGATAAGAATTCCTTCACGCTGAAATGTTTCTTTCTTCGAAGCCTATGTTATCATGCCGATTGTTTCTGATTTATTTCGTTTTGTACGATTCGATTTTCGACTTGTAGGACGCGATTGTTTAATAGTTTTTTTTCTGCCATTATTTGTCATGCAGATCGCTTGCACATAGTTTTTTTCTCTAGGATTGATTAATGTTTGTTGCATCGATGCAGAAAAAATAGCTTTTAATATAATTTTTAGTTATTGCTTTGAGTGACTCTGACTCTTTCATTTGTGTATATGTTGCTACATGATATGAAAAGAAAATAGTTTGTAAAATAATAATAATAGAATAATCAAAATTACGTTCTGCATCAGATGTATTGAGCCCGATTACTTGTAATGTTCCTCGTTTGCGTTTGTTATTTTGTTGTGATACAATTGACTTGGGTTGTTTAATTCTTGATACATTTTTTGATTGAGATTTTTTTTAATGTTAATTGATTGTTGTGATGACTTGGATGTTATATAGTTAACAGCATCATCTAGAAGGAAAACCGTTGTTAAAATCAGAGCAATGTTAGTATTTTTATTACCATTTTCATCCAATGTATCGAAACTAACAATTTTCGGCGGCATTTGAGGGTCCTTGGTTGTTGATAATCCTTTATTTAAAGACTCTTGTTGTTTCGTAAATAATTTCTTGATTGAAGGACCACCAATAGACTGATTTGGAGCATAATCGTCGTCGTCTTCATCATCATAGTTATCATGATCATCGTCACTACCATCATCATTATTATGACTTGTATTTTTATTATTATTATTGCTGTTATTACGAGAAGTTTTATGCTTTAAGACTTGATCAAGAGCATTTATAACATCACGAGAAGATGTAAGCAATGGCAAAGCTGATGATAAATGATGATGAACCATTTTTTTGATTACTATGCCCATTAATACCTGAAGAAGAAGTATTAACTAATTTACCGTCATCAATCACACGTGAACGATCAATAGATTTTGAATTTAATTGAAACACCCCTGCTTTCATGAAGGATTTAACAATATATTCTATTTAATTGTTATAGCTTCAGATTCCCATAGTTGCTTCAATAATGATGGGAATCGATCTTTGTTGATGGTTTCATTATTAG